TGCGACATCCATACAAATGACAAGCAGAAATTTCCTTTATTAAATTTGGAACAGCAGCTCACACTTCAACGATATGGCTTAAAGGGTACAATATTGGTGCGAAGCCACAACGAACACCCCATCTCTTCTAAATCAAATTTCTTTGTCAAATAAATTAATACAGAATATGTTACTATATCATCTGATAGAATGAGCAATGCGATCGGGATGACAAAAAGGAAAACAAAGTAATGTAAACTAACTTCCCCACTATTATTAGTATTAAAATACATTAATAATATATCAAAAGAAAGCGCAAAACATAGCTTTCCTTGCAGATTACGAGCCACATATGACCAATCTGTGAGAATGCATAAATGGTATACCATTCATGCAATAGTTAAATTTCGTATATGTTCATCAACATCGAGTACATACATCTAATACTACAACTCTTCAGAGAAACTGCTATGATAATTGCATAACATCAACGCTTTAATAAACAATCTCTTTGGATGAAATGGGGTGGGGGCAGAATATTAGATACTTATTTAGGAATGGGATATGTACAAGCAATTATTAAAGGACAAGAAAATACACAAAACCAAGGAAGAGAGAGCGTAGCACAAAGATGAGTATGTACAAATTTCGGCACATAGAACAGGATAGAAAGATTTAAGGGTCAAACTCGGAGACGGTGAGACAAAGAGACAGATGCTACAGCAATCTCTGAGCAAGGCAACACGAAACCGGGGAGGCGCGACGCAGAGCAGCGCGTAAGCTCATTCAACAAGCATGGTACGTTACTGCAAGAAAAAATCTAGTAAGCTGTAAGGGGAGACTCGTCGATTGTTGGTGGCGATGGTGTCGTTGTGCCGTAACCGGATGATCCAGATGAGTGCGCTGAAGCGGTACACATAGAATCAAATGAATCCTTCCTTTCAGCTTGCTGATCTCGACACAAGGACGTCAGGGGTGAAATGATAGCGCTCAGTGATGCTATCGATGTCGATGACTGGCTAGCCACATTTGCGTGTGGAGCAATTACGACCGTCTGACGCGGGTGAATGGGGTAGCGACGACAAGGCGACCCAATTGGCCCACCAGTGAGCAGGCGCGGATTTGTCGTAAACGGTGGCACCTAAAACAAGTAAATAATCCCTTGCTCCCGACCACAATATATATTTTCATTCAGCGAACCTCTGGATGGGGCACTCTTTCGAGAGTGGCACCTTCGAAAATAGCTGCTGAATTTGATACTGATGTGGAACTGCTACTGCATGGTGGGCTCAGCAGAAACTGATCGGATCGTGTTGCAGTCAGTGGGACTCTTGGGTGTACATGAGTCTGGGCCTCCGTGACTAGACGATCTGGGACACTGGCAAGTTTATGACGTCCAGCATTCAACTCGTTCTTTGCAGCTCCAGCTCCTCCTGATGGCACTTGCAGCCAGGGATGCTCGAGAATTTCCTCGAAGGTGGGACGATCGCAGCCTTCTCGAGCAAGGCATTGTCGAATCAGATCCTTACATTCTGAAACAAATTTCATGCATGAATTGTTCCTGAAACATAAAATTCGAATGAACGAACCTTCAGAAAGCTGATTTCGCCATTGCAAATGTCCATTGCAGATTTCGGAGTCTTTGCGAAAAGGAATGTCTCCACAGACCATATCAAAGAGAAGTATACCAAGAGACCACACCGCAGCTTCGAGGCCATCATAACGCGATTCTTCAATCCATTCAGGAGGACTGTAGACACGAGTTCCTAAAATGATTATTACATTACCGTCAGCCGGATCAAATTCCATGCGAGATGTCTGGCCGAGGTGCTAAGGTCACATGATTGGCGAGCATTGCCCAATGAATCATCACGTGACGACGCGTGGACCCGCACGCCCGACTGAGTGACGAAATGCAAAAGGGTTTGGCACTTTCCAACTAAGGATGCTCCGTTCCACTTGTTTACTCCTTAGCAGGACATCGATGTGCGCGAAAATTAGACAGCGTCTGAAGCTTCCGGGACACCATACAGCTACACTTTGCTTTGGAAAATACCATGGATCCCAGGCTCTCGCGGAGATACGTTTTCGACAGACAAGAACGGGTTTGAGCTCCTTGTGATGGGAAGGGAATGCCTGACGGCAAGCCCCTACACGTAACAATTTAGCCATGATCCACACCTGCACCGGGACTGATCGATTGAACGCGCTTCAATCACTAGACTTTTGACTGAGTTCTTGACAAAATGGTTACCAGATCTTTTCAGCTGTGACCACAAGATTGAAGCACTCAAAAGCGCGAAAGCAACTTGGCTACGCGATCTGCCTTCCACTAAGCAAACCAAAGCTATTGCAGCTCAGCACGCACCCTTTGTCTTGAAGAAAGCCTTCGTTTCAGTCCACCAAGCATAATCCTTCGACGCAAAACGGCTGCTAGTGTTAGATGAGGGCAACAGTTTAGGGTAACCGAAAAAGTGTACTTGCTCCTCGTTTCTATCGGATACAACTTAGACCGGCATCGCATGAAGAAATAAGTTACATATACACATACGCAAAAATATTTCCCGATTTCTCCAACGCAAGGAACCAGAAAGCAATAAATTAGAATTAGGAATCTTTTTCGCATGAAACTATGCATCAGCTCTTTTCAAATGAACTGTGAAATAAGCGACGTCGTTATTTTGAAACTTCACCAATTTTTAGACCACGGAACCACTTAGAAAGCTTGCAGCAACTGTAGCGCTTTTCGAGGGAGGGATCACAGCAGGTCAGCAGAATCGCTGAAGCGACCTGACAGATCTCCTCAATGTATGCGGTAAACAATCCTATTGAGGTCAATGGTCAGAGACCATGTGATGCTGACTCACACAGCATTCGATGTCACAGCGACATCACGATTCTCAGGATAGCTTGAGATTTTAAATATAACATCCAAACTTGGAAGCGACTCAACGTCAGCCCAGCAAGGACTTAAATGCCATGAAGAGATTCACCTCGGGGTAAATTAGCGCTTTTCTCACAAATACAACTCAATAAGCAAGATACCAATCTCCATTTCTGCTATTACGTACAAATCCACTTTGAAGCATTGATATAGCACCTTCTCACTAGTCTCTATAGTCGGGGACGGGTCAATAGGGAGTGTCACGTGTTCTCGTCGCTCTCCCCACCGCCGAGGTCAATGCACGAGGAAGTGGCCGTGATTTGGCCACGAGCCAAAGTTTGTGTTCTCTTTCTTTTGAGACCACCTGCACAAAACCCGAGGAATGCGCCAAATTGTAAATGACCAACTCGTGGGCAATAGCCACTATCTGACCTCTCAAGTTTCTTCTACAGAAAAACGATGTAATGTGAACCGGGATGGCTGCGCCAAGAGACCTTGGTACCAGTCAAGACGCAATCGCTGAATTGATTAGTTCAAACGCGGACCTGAGCATTCCAGCGTCAGAGACTAATCGTGAACTGCATATGGTTACTTCCCGGTTCAAGCATCAGAGAAGTACGGGCAAAGGAAGTATAGCTGGTATGACTTAAGGAAGCTTCAAATTGGTCGAAAATATGAGAAAGCTGGAGACAGAAACTAGCAAATGGAACCAGGGTCCAGCCAAAACCGAAGTGAGGAAAAGACAGTTAAATGAGTAAACCACGAACCTTCAAAGTCAGTGTAGGGTCCCTCTTTACGAAATGCGCCAGAGCCAAAGTCAATCAACTTAACGAGACCGTTCTTCATATCTACCACCAGATTCTCGTCCTTTATATCGCGATGAATAACATTCACACGATAACATGCCAATACAGTGTCCACAACCTGCAACAACATTTTCATTTTGATAGAAACATCGGATTTTGACTAATGAACGACAAAGACCAACCTGACGAAAATAATCGCGAGCCACATTTTCCGTAAGAGCACCTCTTTCGGAAATGTAGTCAAACAAATCCGTGGATGGGCTAGGCCGCTCCATTACAATCATGTAACCTTCCGGTCGCTCAAACCAATCAATCGTTTGAATGACACCTGGGATGCCTCGACACCTCATTAATAGAACTATTTCAAGCGGCACCACTCGTCCGTCCATCTGAAATACAGCACCTGAGAAGGAGGCATGGCTCAGTCGTAAAACGTAAAAAAATGACTAAGCAAAAACGGTTCGCAAATTTCATGCAACAAAAGACATCTCTATACCTTAGTACGTCACTTAACGCAAAAATATAGCATTCTGGAAACGAAATACATAACAAAGTGGAAACAAAACTTACACAAGCCCATTCCGTAACGTTTGCTCGCATAACATATTTACAGGCAACTGTAAGATTATCAGCCATACGAAAGCCACAGTATACGGTACCAAATCCGCCGCGGCCCAACTCGGCACCAAGTTTGTATTGTCGTTTGAAATTAGCATAGTCATGAGCTGTAACACAATCGATTGCTATGATACAACTATAGGAGGAAGAACGCGAAAAAGTGAAAGGATATAATCTTTCAAAATACCTAAAAGAGCTGTACAAGCTGAATACACCAAGTCAAAGAGTTTCCGTCCCTCCACCACTTTAAAGATAACTTAAAAAGCCCTATCAGCTGTTGCCTTTAATGAACCTAACTGATGCGCATTTGGCCACGAGAATAAGAGGGCTATTTGGCGCTTTTATACAGCATGGTTGGTAATGCTCAGCAGTACTTTATATCAACCCTAATTTTATTTATAGCAGAGCACTACAAAAGCTTATATAGGATAACCAAGCTGCATTTTCTCACCAAACTTCGCCATCGAGATGAAAAGAATCTTACAGAAAGAAAGATCAAGGAATCGAGGAACAAGCGTAGCAGCTTGAATCAGAAAAGGATGAATAGGCCATTGATAACAGATCAACGTTACAACAGCTTGCACTCATTATCAGAGAGTTAGATCATAGCAATCCCACACCCAGAACACAACAGAGAGACCGTGAGGTTTACAGGAGTTGGTACCAAATTAAGCGCACATGAGAAGTTACATAACCCAACACGAACGAAGTTCATAAAAACGCATGACCACGCGTGACCACACGTGCACCTTGTCCTAATTAAAAGAGCCAGGTGTACTGTTGGTCACATCGGTACAAAAATAAACGAAGTGAAAATACGGAATTATAAATCAAATTGCATGCACTAACCTGGCCGATCTATCGTCACTGGACCTCCTATAGCCATCTTACGAAGACGGCTCATAAACATAGAGATTTTCCAAACAGCGACCACACTTTTGCAAGTTTTCTATGGAAAACAAGAGTAATACACCTCAGATGGGATTATCTGAAATGAGACAGTGATAGATGGAACAACGAAACGTTCTCGTCTGAAACGAATTGGTTGCGAGATTAAACGGAAAATCAGAGGAAACCAATCGACAATAATTCGACCGTTAGCTCAGCCATGTCCTTAAAAACACTAATTAGGGGACAGTTGTGTAGCCGCACCCATCGCGTACAGGCCCACACACTTATCGCGGAATGAACGCAATCAAAAGGGTGGAGCCGTCCGTCACGTCACCAATGCTAGCCCCGCCCAATGACATACCATGTCTTGGCACTGACCTATGGGGAAGTTCCTACAGGTGATTCGTAGTTATGACAATCATTGAAAGAAGATTTGAGCGGAGAAATTGGGCAACTGTCTACAGAGAAGAAGCTAGCGACCGAGAAAAGCGTCAGCGTCGACGATAGCGGCGGCAGCTGCACAGCGGCGAAATAACGTGTAATAGACAGGCCGCGGCGGGATGTCGTGGGTGGGGTTTGGCACGCGGCCAACGCCATGTGAGGTGGAGAGAGCTCTATGCGCTAGAGAGCACAGGGCGACGAGAGGAAGGCGAGGGAGCGCGGCGACGGAGGAGACGCCAGAGAAGAGCGTTCGGACGTTTGGAAAAACGCGCGGTAATCGCCGGCTGTCTGCAAAAACTGCTGGAACGCCCGGGATGGCACGGATTTTCCGTGGACATGTCGTCCGCCCTTTGGACTTCGCAAAGAACACATCGGGACCACCCTCACAACCCCACGTCCTCGTCACCTTTGCAATATTACGATAATCGATTGGCAGCTTGTGACCCAAATGGAACAGTACGAGCAGCGATGAGGTGGCTGGTAACCTCCTGTAGCATTTCGTTAAGCAGGCGTTAAGGCGTCGCCTGGTTAACCGGAGGCAGGTGGTGCGCAAAACCCGGTGGCGTTTTGAGCGGAGCTCCCGCGTGGCCGCCTTCTCACGTGATGCAGCCACAGTTCCTTCCTAATGGTGATCTCATGATTCTGGAATGGCCCATTTGGTGTGGCAAGGCACATCCGAATGCATTACAACGAAAGAATATACAAGAAGCTCCAGAAAACTATTGAAATTCAACTGAAAAAGGAG